TTATTAATTATAATTATATTTAAATAATTTCATAATAATTTTATTATCAAAAAATAATATCAAATAATTGAAATTTAAATGCGCTTAAATCAAGTAAATATGAGGTTATTACTTTATGAAAATTAAATATTTTAATTATTTAGACAAATAAATTTAACAGTTTTGTATAAACTAATGAATTTTCTTGGAAATTAATTGGATAATAAATTAGAATAAATCTTAAGAAAATTAATGCTTATGTTTTGCTTATTAATGAAAACAATTACTTTATAAATGAATGTTTATAGAAAAGAATGATAAATTATTAAATTATATTAATAAAAATTATGCGGTTATTTACATTTATTCTAGAGCTTTTTTTCTGTAATTAAATGTAATATTAACTTAAAATTTATTTCCTTCATTTATTAAATAGCAGCATTAATATCCCGTAATGATTTCATAAATCTTTTAAATTACTTAAAATATTAATTTGTAAATTTATTTTAAAAACATTAAATAAATTTTCAAGTAATTGTTAATGAGGAAAACTTATTTGATTGTTAGCACTGTAAATATTAAAATAAACGTTTGACTCACTATAATACTTATATAACAATAGTATATTACACATACTGATTCCAAAATCTCCGTGCCAAACATACCATTTCAAGAGACATTTATAACGTGTGTCAGCGAGACGTTCGCTATTAATGGAAGGTACAGTACAATATATTCAGTTAATGGCGTTATATATATTTTCTCACTTATAAGTGATTGTATGATAAGTTAGATCTTTTGCTTTAGAGTGTTTCTTTTTTTAATTATTCTCTAATCTAGATGTAATTACATTATATTAGTTCATAAAATAAGAGGTACTGTACATAAAAACTCGTTAGATATATTTCTGAAAATTCGTAATTACTCTTTAAAAAAATTTTTTATCATCAATTTTCTATACTTATTTTTAATGCACGAAAAAACTCTATAATTAGTTCATTTTATATTTTTTTTGAGTGTATTAAAAATAAATAGTATTATGCATAATTATATTTTTACACGTTAGATTGATTCCTGGAAATTACGTGTAAAAATACATTGTATATATGGAAAATTAAAAGAAATCAACGAAAATAATGAAATTAACCATTTGAAATATCTTGTTAGAATCTTATTTTGTTTTTTTTTATTTTTTTGTGTATTATCAACTTTTAATTCATATACATTGCACAAAAGTAGAAATGAATTAAAGGAACATAAATTTCATTTAAAAACATAAAGAATTAAAGAACATTAAATTTGGGCAGAATATGTGATCTGAGTTATACATAGGATTTTATTTGCTGTCACTTTCTGGCAATAAGCACATACATTTGCACATAATTGAAATATCACTGCTATCACTAAAAATGCTTTGGTTATCGTGTTTTACGTCCACGGATGAAGTTCTTTCTATAAACTCCTGAACAACTTTAGCAGTAATGTTCTGTGGTGCTAATTTTACAGAAGTTTTCTGAACGGATTTAGTTATTAATGGCTGGGTTCGTATTGTGACTAGACCTTTATATAATTTTCTACAAGATGACTTTAACGATTTCAAATCACGTTGAAACTTTAAAGCTCGTTGCTCATTAAGATCATACTTGACAAATTATTATTTTTTTAAATCGTGTTAAATCAAAATCGTTTTAAAAAAAGTTCGTATAAAAATAGAATTAGGTTTATTTAACTTTAGAATTTAGTAGAAAATATGAAAGAAAATCTAAAAATCGTTTATATTAATGACTGAGCTGTTGAAAGATAAAGGAAAAAATGTTATAGTGCTACTGAATTTTATCTTAAATTTTCTTTTCATATCCGAACACAGAGGTTATTATTTTCTAAAGAATTGTTCAACTCAAAACTAAAGAACTAGAGATTAAATCCGAAGAAAAAAATTAAATATAAGAAAATATAATAATTGTTCTCATAGCTTAAACTAGATAAGTGACATCGAGAAACTCGAGACGATCTTTAACGATGCAATTAGTCTGGGCGAGCAGTTTGAGCAGTAATATGTCACAAATAAAAGATTACAAGTGATTTATTGTTGAGAAAAGGAAAAAAAATATGATGAAAAGTACAAATAAAAAAGAAAAGTGTAATAAAGAAATTAATTTCGTTTTCTTTAGTTTAGTTTAGTTTAAGTAAATAAATAAAGTAAAGTAAAAAGTAAGAAATAAAATCAGTTGGTATTTAAGAGGGAGAAGTGTTGGATAAATTGGAGTCGCTCGTTAAAAGCATCTGCTTTTGAGATTTTGTCCACTCTGGACTGAGGGAACTGTGTCTGAAAAATCACGTCGGTAAGTCGCTTGACACGGCTAAAAATATATATTTGAAATAGTTACATAAAAGTTGAAAATATGCGATGGGATGAGAGGAATGAGTTGAGAGTAAGTGCTGTCATGTGGACGAAAGGAAAGGACAATTGGATTAAATCGGTAGAGAACCCGGACATGCAATTACAGCAGAGGTAATAGAAGAACTAGATAACGTGGAGCCGTGTAATGGGAATAGGGACGTAAATCTGATTTCTTTCTTCTTTTGAACGCGGATAACTTTTCCATAGTTCAAACGAAATTCACCAAACTTTGTAAAAATATGAAACATCTGTCTGGCTTTATATTCTAAAAAAACAGCACCCAAAAATATCAAAAAACTTTTTGTTATTAAGCGTCAAAGAAGAGAAAGTCGACACTCATTTTTTTGAATATATAATAACAAATGTCATAACAATGTTTACATGCTCAACTAATAAATATAACCAGTTAATTATATAAATTAATTTATAATTATTAAATATGTTGACATAAAGTATATGCGATTAAATCAATCTCATTGCAATTTTAATTAGACTACTAGCAATTTATTATTTATTGTGACATCGTCACAATGCTCTCGATTTTAATCCCTGTACATCATAGTTTTCCTCTTAGAGTCATGCCATTTATCTAACTCCTTTCATGGAAAAGTTTTTAAACTGAATTCACGTGATTTTTGGAACAGACAGGAAGTTCCTATACAGTTAATCGAGGCTTACTAACATAACATTTCAATACCTAATCTCGGCTTTCATCTATCTTTCTCCGTTCTCGAAATTAAGGAAGGACAGACATACAGACAGGGACAGTGCAAATTTATGTCTACAATTTTTTTCAAATTGCAGCCTAATGACGATAATTTTGCACAGCCAAACACAAATTTGTGTGTATATCCTATTAATACATATAACTCTCGTTGTTTGAGGTCCTTCAATTTAGCTCCAACCTCTGTAGAGAACAATTGGAGCTGTAAATTAAGGTTTAATTGTACTATATTAGAAAACTGAGTTTGATATAACTAAAGGCAAAAGGGCCACAAATATTGTCAAGTTTCAGATAAAATTACGTACAGTACAGTACATTTTATTAAATTTGTATATATTTATAAAACTGATAATATGTGACTTTTTAAAACATTTTAATGTTATACATTTATTGAAAATTTCTGAAATTTTGTTTATAAGGGAATTGATGCTATTCAATTTTTGTGGTTAAAGGTAGACGGGGTGGAAAGATAAAAGGAGTCGTGTGTCATATCTCGAATAGGATAGGACTTTATTGAGGACCTTATAACTTGTTCTTTTCTTAAAAGAAAGAATAGTCATAAAATGATGTAAGTATTCCTTCAATAAAATTATTATGCAGTATATTTTACTACTCAAAAAATATTTTGCTTTTCTTACAGTTATAAAAAGCTTATATAATCGTTTTCTAATTATTATTTAACAATATTATTAAGTAAACAACGCATCAAAATAGTTTCGATTTTCCTCTAACTTCAAATACAGCAAATACAGGTTAATAATTTTAGTATGTAGGTTAATTGTATGCAACAAATCTGTATAAAACTATTGATAACGAACTATTTCGCTTTATATAATATAAATATCATAAAATATAATATTTTGTTTCGTACGAAATTTATAATACATTATAACTTTACAAGTTAAAAAGTCATAATAGATTTTTGTATAATAAAATTAAACTGTATGTATATTAATATAGTTGAATGCTCATAAGAAGAATCATCTATATAAATTTTTAACATATTTTTCTTGTTTAGAACTTCTTTATTAACATTTGAAGTTCTATTTATGAAAATTATTTACGAATATGCCATTGTAAATGATGATGACAAAGGAAAAATTTTGTAATTTATTAAAAATATCGTAAAATATTTTATATACAAATTACTTTGTATGAAGAAGATCATTTTTATTCACAATTTAATATTGTAATAAAGAACAGTAAAACCTGTCAAAAATGGTACCTGAGTAAAACGGAAAGAATGCTTCAAAACAGCAATTTAAAATGGTTTTAGGAGTTTCTTATAAAGTCTTTTCTTACTCATTAGAATGGTCCTTTCATTAATTATTTAGTCAAAATTAACTGAAAAATAATTAATGAAAAGTAAACGTTATAAAAAAAATACTCAAAATTAAATTATCAGCTTGTGTAATAAATAAATGAAGCAACATAAATTCAAGTTATCCAAGTTCAAAGAAATTTTTCTTTAAACTCGATAACTTTTTTATAGCTTACCCAAATTCACCAAACTCTGCAAACGTATGAAGCAACTCTCTGGATTTATATTCCAATAAACATTACTGAATCTAAAAAATGTCAAAATAACTGTTTGTTATTACGCGTGAAATATTAAGCGTTTTTTTTTTTATTATATCTTATCTGAGAGTTAATTATATATCCCAGAAAATAATTTATGCATACTACAGGAATCTTCTGCGCATTGTGACATCAAAATCCTCAAAATCTAACGTGAAAATGTTTT